ATTGTTAAAATTTTATAATTTTTTTATCATTTGATGTAGGCATAGTAAAAATTTTATTTTAAGACGTTCTTTAGATTGTTATCTAATCTTTAGATAATTTTTAGATTGAAAATATGAAAATATTTTTCATGGGTTTAGTTCAGCATCGATAAGTTATTCTATATTGAATTGAAAAAATAATATTTAGGGATATACAATATCGGTTGAGGCTTTTAATCAATTCAAAATTTGCAAATCCGTTAATTAATTTTTTTTATACAGCGTTTGTCAATTTTTATAAGGATAGTGGCAATTATATCTCTTTTAACAGAAATTTTATTTTACAATTTTGCATCGCGTGGAATAAATATCAAAAGATATCACATACGTGTCTCGAAAATATTGTATATTACGCGCGAATCCATTATATTGCCACCTTTTCGTAATATAATTCATTCTAAGATCGCGTATACTACACATTTAACGTTAAATGTGAGATTCGTAACAATATGAATTTGAATATTTACATGTACAAAACGCGCGACAAAATATGCAATACCCCAGTAAAAAAATCATCAGTTGAAAAAACGTCGAATTAATGACTTTTCAATCAAAGAGATCGGTTGATATAAATGTCTAAAATTTAGTCGATTAAACGTTTTCGCGTCCTTCAAATTAGACCTTTATAAAACGTTTATTTAAACATCTATTAGCTATTTGTAAAATGTTCAAAAAATGTTTAAAAGATATCTATTAGTAACTTATAGTTTATTTCACACGATAAAATAGAATATAAAATTTTAAAGTACATTTGGCAACATATACGTACATATCGATATATACATGTATGAAAAATATATATATGTAAGAACTATCGCAGAATTGAAAAAATAATATTATTTAGGGATATACAATATCGGTTGAGGCTTTTAATCAATTCAAAATTTGCAAATCATCATCAATTAAAAATGTTTTCTTAGCTCTTTGACTAAAAAGCCTAACAATGTCTTTTGTGAATACGCTTACATGATATTTTAGATTGAAACCTATTCTATAAAATCTTTCTAACGTTTAGTATTTGGTAAATTCTATGAAACATTTATCGCTGAAAAAGCAATATGTAGTTAATTTTTTAGGAAAATACGTAATTTAATCTAGATACTCGTACACAAATTTATTCCGAGTCGCATCGACTATTTTTTGCTTACATGCGACTGCTATCACGTTAAGGTCTCTTGGAGTATATAACAAATGTGTTAGAATATCATGATATTCCACAGCGAGATATCAAACAATCTAGGTAATTTAGGTGAATTATGATAAGATTACTTTCACTATACACTACATTTAAAGATAACCAGTTATGATAAGCACTTTCTTGTCTCTTTCTCATCGTAATGCGAATATTCGATCCATTGAGTTATCCGCGAGGTGAAATGTACAGTAAGAAAAAAGAATCCTATAGAAAGTTACAAGATGCCAATTATGACTTTGACAGTCAGATTCTCTCTAAAATGCAAAATGCGCGCGCGCGCGCGCGAATTATACATAAGTGTAGCATAATACAATTCTAAACGTATATAAGTGAAAATGTACAAATTGTACTGTTAACATCAGAAATATTTTCCAACTTCAAGTCATTTTGAGTTTAATCACTTGTTAATTCGTTATGTGAACGCAAAAACAAACTGTTTGTATGATCGGTAACATGTTTTGGGTACGAATCGAGAATCTCGCTTGTCTTCAACAAGCATACTGTTCCATATAAAGCTTTGTGACATAAGTAAGTAAAATAGACCCAGGCAGGTTCAACAAGATATTTTTCAATATTTTTCGCTCAGATGCAATACAGGGACGAAATATATTTATCAATTAAGCATCTCACAGGGCTGTCGATTGTATGCGATAAGAGTGAGGAGTGTGATTCGCGAATATACAAATTATCGTAAGCAGAATAGTCTGGACAGTCTAATGAACGTAATAATAATAGATCAGAAGCGCGTACTCGAACGGATTCAAACATTTAAGACAAGTAAGAGTTAACTATTAGCTCCATCATTTTTATTGCGACATATTGTGATATAGCTCTTAGCAATTTTAGAGATTTAGTTGGATTATCCAATCGTCAAACGAAAATATTATTGTAAAGATGTATGTAATATGCTATTTATAAAGAGTAATATATACATATAATATATAAATTGTATAAGTTATATATAGTAGTATACACAGATCTTATTTATTTTTAGCATAATTTTCCATAATCAACGTTAATTAATTTTTTTTTATACAGCGTTTGTCAATTTTTATAAGGATAGTGGCAATTATATCTTTTAACAGAAATTTTATTTTACGATTTTGCATCGCGTGGAATAAATATCAAAAGATATCACATACGTGTCTCGAAAATATTGTATATTACGCGCGAATCCATTATATTGCCACCTTTTCGTAATATAATTCATTCTAAGATCGCGTATACTACACATTTAACGTTAAATGTGAGATTCGTAACAATATGAATTTGAATATTTACATGTACAAAACGCGCGACAAAATATGCAATACCCCAGTAAAAAAATCATCAGTTGAAAAAACGTCGAATTAATGACTTTTCAATCAAAGAGATCGGTTGATATAAATGTCTAAAATTTAGTCGATTAAACGTTTTCGCGTCCTTCAAATTAGACCTTTATAAAACGTTTATTTAAACATCTATTAGCTATTTGTAAAATGTTCAAAAAATGTTTAAAAGATATCTATTAGTAACTTATAGTTTATTTCACACGATAAAATAGAATATAAAATTTTAAAGTACATTTGGCAACATATACGTACATATCGATATATACATGTATGAAAAATATATATATGTAAGAACTATCGCATAAATTGACATAGCTGCATATGCATAGCATAAGACCGTCTGGACCAATGAGTATGTTATGTAAATCAATATGATGATTTACTGCTCAATGCTCATTGATCTTGACGGTTTTATGCTATGCATAAATGCATTCTCGCGCAAATTTCATCTTGGATTCATAATTTTTTGCAACTCTATACATTAATTTCTGCACCATTAAATAATAGGGATCGATTACAATTTATATAAACACGAACTGGCGTATAGGCAAATTCTCTATAGAACCAGTTATAAAGGGAAAAAGAAAAAGATTTATGTTATGTGTATATACAGCTATGTCAATTATTTATTATTTATTATTAATTATTTATTATTTATGTGCGATGGCCCTAAATTCATGTGTTAAAGTTTCCTGTTGCTGTGTACGTATAAGATATATACGACTATCTTATATACACTTGGCAACAGGGATACTTTAACAAACAAAAGTTTACGCATATCGGGAATCGGGATATACAATTTGCATTTTCCATATATGTATATATATCGATATGTACATAAATTCATTTATTAAAAGGCATTCCTCTGTTGCCAAGAGTGCACTTTAAAATTTTATATTCTATTTTATTGTATGCGTGTGTGTATATATATATAAGATACGAGCAAAATAAATAAGATATTTTAAGAAATAAGTTTAATAAAGTAGAATTTAGGACATATATATAATAAACATATATATTAAAATTTATATAATAAAAGTTATATAATAAAAAAAAGTTATATAAATAAGTCATGCAATAAAGTTTGTAGAACATTATTAATCTTGCTCTTTCTTATCGTTGTGACGAATTACAAAAGGGAAAGGGCGTGTCACGTATGCGTAGAATTACGGATACTGACTTAATTATATCAGAATTGATCACATTACTATATGGACTAAAATCTATTTTTTACATCCACTGCACATATCATCGATCTTACCTTTCCGTAGCGTTATTTGCTCGCTGCCTCTCTTTCTCTCTTTGTGCTTTCATGTCGGGATTGTCGGGATCATCATCCTCGTCCTCCGAGCTGGAACAATTGCGCAATTAACAATACGCGATTAATCACCTCTGGTTTGCTTCATTATTTACTCTCTAGGCTATATCATTTAAATTTGATATAATTGAATTACTAATGTGAGTGACACACAGTCGCAATATGCGACAAAATTTGATTTCGACTTGCTGATATCTAATTATCTAGTTGTTGTTCGAGCGGATTTCGTATATTTTTTTTCCGTGTAATATACAAGCGATATGATAATGAACACACGCAGATGATTTCACAATTTTGAAATCGTCGATAGTAAAAAAGTAAAGGCCCGTATTCTTTGAACAGAACAAATAATATGTCGCAACGGAGCATGATTAATGATTATTATTAATTAAACGTGCGAGATTGTGCGATTATTATTGTGTGATTATTATTAATTAAACTTCCTTAGAAAATATTTAAATGAGCTTACAGCTTATAAAAAAATCAAAATATTGGAACAATATCTTATTAATTCTCTTGTCTGCTATTATTGAGTGATTTGAAAACATTAGAAAATAAAAATATATCTACAATAAACTCGCACCTAATCAACACACACAACATTGCATAAAAAAATACATATTTTTATTATCACCTCGAGCCTCAAGCATTCATAGATTCAAATCGTCGATTGCGATAATTAAACGACATAACCGATATAATTTAACATGAAATGATTAATATGTAAAAGGCGAGCAGAACTTTGCATATACGTATAATTCAAACCGCAAAGTCATTAAATGCATTTTTATGGATGAAGAACGAATAATAAATTCATTACCATAACGCGAAAATGACGAGCGCGATTCAAATCTTTTAACGGACGGGAAGAAAATTGCGTTCGAGAATCTATTCGGATAGTGACGTTTCACTTTGACCAATTGGGGCAAAGAAATCCGTGCTCCTTGATTGATCGAGCGAACGTCATTGGACTCGAACTAGTGGATTTTCGAACGTACGCGGAGAGATAGTTGCCGCGGCGGCCGCGAGTGGCGCTGCATCGGCGGCGTGGCGCGACCGCGCGACACGAACGGCGCAGTAGCTGATTCAAAATGGCGTAAAACCAACATGGCGTCACGTATACGGTGCCGATGATCTCGTTTTAGCCGCGTCTCGCGATCCGGATAGCTACGGTTTACGGCGTGCGCGACGAAACGACAAGCGAACGTTCGCTGACGGCCGTGTGTTACGTATACGACTCGAGTATCGCTCGCGAACCTCAAATACGACCTTGTTTATAGCGGTCGCGCCGCACGTTACGGACGTTGGAACGAGCGGCGGCGACAGTGACTGTAGTGACTCTATGGTGACGGGCGATTGTAAATCGGTGCCGGACGATATATCGCATCGGCAGCCCCCTCGTATAATAAAACCCCGCGTGTGTTTCTTTCCGTGTGTCTTTGCGCGAGGACACTTGTTCATCTCGCTGACATGATGAAGGACACGGGATATCGTGCGTAAGCATCGTCGCGACGGCGGGGTAATGTGTGTTGACGTGCGCGAGTGAGCGAGTGAGCCATTCTCCTCCACGTATCGTCCTTGTTTCGACGGACTCGCGGAGGAGTCAGTGAGCGACGACGTGCGCGACAACGACGACGACGACGACGACGACGACGACGACGACGACGACGAGGACGAGGACGAGGGCGTACGTGCACGGTGACGGGGACGCGTGACGTTTAGCATCTCGTTCACCATGGCGGTGAATCCGCGTGATATGGACGGTTTCATGCCGCTCCTGTCAACGACGGATATCAAGAAGAAGCTGAACGTCGGCAACGCGCTGTTGAATTACCTCGGCGATTCGACCAATAGCATCGAGTGCCAGGACATTGGCATGTTCATCGACAATGTTATACCGTGGCTTGGCAACGGCAATCCCAAGGTGAGAATTCGAGACGACGATCGTCTTGGAATCGTACCCTCGTTCACGCTTAACCTTTACGAGTATTTTTTCCATCCATTTTCCGCTCGTATTGTTTACGGGAATAAATTTTTCTTGTTTATTTATTTTTTTTTTTTTTATTAAAAAATGCTATAAGATAAGAGAACGGAGCATATTTTCATTATAAAATTGAACTTTTCCAATTTTCTTTTCTCGACTTATACACAGTGATGTATAAAACAGTAGCTTAGTGTCAATGTCAATAAAGGATACATATACATTGAGAAAAAAAAGTTGTTAACTTGACTAAATTCGTCCAACTAATTACTATTTTTTTGTATCTTTAATCGAAATATTTAAGTATTTAAATCAAATATACCTCATGTTAGATTTAATATGTCGTATTTGACTTGAATATTTCAATTAAAGAAATACAAAGAAATAATAATTAGTTGGACGAATTTAATCAAGTTAACAATATTTTTTTCTCAGTGTATGAAAAAGGAATTATTTTACTATTTTATTATTTTATCATTTATTAAACGATGTTATTTTTAATACTTTAAAAGTCGCCATTATATTGGCAAATATAATATTTCTTTTGTTTTGTTTTTTTTGTGTTATTTTATCATTTCTTGGAATAAAACCGCATTTGTTATCACTAACATGAGCTATCTTTCTCTGTGTCATTCTATTACAAGATGGGTTGTGATTGAGGCAGGGATATAGGGTGTAGGGTTAATAGACTAGATACAGTACGCCCTTAACGCTTAACTGACGTCGAGCACGTCGCCGATTCGCGATTTAATCTCCTCATCAAACGCGTTCATGACGCGCGCGGTCCATAAATGGAGAAAGGAGACGATTGATCAGTCACCACGCGCTCCGTAAAACATCGCTTTTCGCACTCGCATGTGAGAAAACGTGACCGCCCTTAAACTCACCTCTGCCTAGAAGCGGGAACAACCAATGCTGGCGACCGTAATAGCAACGAAAGAGCAACCCGGTCTGTTGATGTCGTTAAGAGTTTTCTAGTGTGCGTCAAACTATTGCCACTTACACATACGTGGTAGTAGTTTAAAAGTAGCTTTCATTTATTCTTGTTATGTGAGCGAAAATAATACTCCAAGGGCCAAAGTAAAATTACATTCATTTTCACGATAGCCACAAGAATTAAATAATAAAGCTCGTTGTATCGAGAAAATAAATATCAATAATAATAAACTTATGGGAGCAAAGACAGGTTGTTTTATTTTAGAGAATAAAAAGAATTTTTTTTTTAATAATTATAATAAAAAT